AGCAGCCGGCGAGCGCCGAGAGCAGGATCACGTACAGCAGCGGCATCCTGGGGCCCGCCGGGCCGCGCCGCCCCGCGCCGCCCTCACCGCGCCGCCACCGCCGCCATCGCGGGGCCGCGCCCGCCCGGCGGGTCCAACGGCCGCGGGGCCGCGCATACGGGTCACCCGCCGGACGGGGGCGGGGCGGGCCGCCCGAGCGGCCAATGGGCGGCGGCGCCGCGCGCCCTCCGCGCGCTGCTATTGGCGGAGCCCTCCGAGTAGCGTCACGGCGGCGCGCGCCGGTGTGGCGTCACCGCTCCGCGGGGGGGGCGGAGCGATGTGGGCGGGGACACGGTCCCGGGACAAGGTCCTGGGAAACACCAACCGGGACACCAGCCCGGGACAGACACCATCTCCGGACACGATCTGGGAAACACCATCCCCAGACACCAACCCGGGACGAAGTCCTGGGAAACACCATCCCGGCACACGATCCTGGGAAACACCATCCCCAGGCGCGCTCCCGGGCCGCCCCAGAGCCGCCCCGCCCGGCTCTCCCCAGCCGCGGCGAAGGCGCACCCGGGCAGGGGACGGGCAGCCCCCGGCTGTGGCCGGTGGCAGAGAAGGGCCGTGGAGCCCCTTCCAAGGCGGGCGGCTGGATGGTGGCTGGATGGTGGCTGTCTCAGTACTGTGACCCTGGGGAGGGGGGAAGGCATAAAGTCTGTCTTTACGGGCGTTCTGTAACCTCTTTGTTACTGGTGAGAGGTGCTTGTAACACATTTTTCACATTTTGAAAAAACTGCATGGATGACATTTTATCAAGCTCTGCTATCGTTGGTGGTAAGATATAAATCTGTTTCCGCCCTCTTCAGCTATCTCCTAAGGCTTGAAAGCCATCGTTGAACACATGAAGTAAAAACCTAGGGAGAAAAGGAAGACGAAGAAAAGCAGGCTGAGAACTTTGCCCTCAACATGATGGTGTTTCAGCCTGTGCTGTGTGGGAGATCACTGCTGGCCTGTGGGCAGGACAGTCAAGGACAGATGTTTCTTTGTAGGACAAAACTGCTGCTTCGATGAGATCAGAGAGGAGAGGAGGGACCTCCCTGCCCAGGCTGCTCGTAGCACTTTCCGGGGAGGTGACACATCAGTCCGGGTGGAGACTCTGCAGAAAGGGTCGTTTTGGACATTTTAAGATTAGCCCAGAAGGCCCATCATATTCTAATTTGGCTTACAGAATTGTCATATAAAATAACCACATTTTTACTGGAAAATATAATTGTACCTCAGAAAAAAAAAAAACACCAACCCTGTTATTCTAATCCAGCAAACTCACTTAAGGGCCAGATCAAAGGTGAACATAGTGGTGGAGAATGTACTATGACAGCTGCACACTGTTTTTCCAGGTCATTCCCTTTGTCAGGGGTAGTCTTTTCTTTCCCTCTTGAAATAGAAGTTTTATGATTTCTGAAAGACAGACACGGTGCAGACAAAAGTTACTTAAATAATAAAGCTTGTTTTCAACACCAGTTTTTATGTTTAGTTAAATACCTAGCTAAAAGGTTCTTAAAGAATATTATATTTTAATAGAATATAAGGAAATTTATGCTCACCTTGTTGGTTGGGTTTTTTTTTCCAGCCCCCAGAACTGCTTAAAAATGCAAACAAGAGGAGAAGAAATGTGCAGTTTTATCGCCAGGAAGATAAAAGCTCTCTTCCCCATCCCCCTTCATGAAGTGTGTGGGGTGGGAGGATTGAAAAGCTCGTAATGATGCAGTGCTGTGGTTTGAAACCAGAGATTCAGAGTATGAATTTTTTATAGGTCTTGTGACTGCAAGTTGAAATGCCTGGGTGTTTAACAGAGCACTCCTATAGAAATACCAGAGAGGTCATTAGTCCAGCACTGGAACTGCTCTGTTACAGGCCTGTACCATGGCTAATACAGGCACTGCAAGAATGGAAAGGTTTGGGATTTGCAACTAAATGGCTTTTCAGATAAGGAGTAATATATTCAGAAAGGCAATAGCAGCCTTGCTTTTGGGTCAGGAGGAACAGCAGGAGAATAAAAAAAGTCGTGTTGCAGAAGACTCAATTGAGTATTTTCTTCTGTTAGACAAGCAGAATAGGGAATTTGGCACATTTTGTGCACCTGATGGCAGCTTAAGAGCCTCTGAAATGTTCAGCTCACTAATCGCTTTTCTCCTTTCCCAGGAACATTTTCAACAGGAGCTGTGTTATCTCAAAAGGCACGTTATGAACAAGAATCAGGCCTGGGTTAGCATTTTCTGTGAGAATGGGAGAATGGAGGGAAATAGCAGCAGATGCATTAACATAAATACAAAATGATTGTGCAAAAATATTATACAACACAGACTGAAATAAGAGAGAAAAATATTTAAATTTGTCAGCTGGAGGAGAAGAAAAGGATTCATCTTAATACCATCTAAAAAGGGCCTTTAAGAGCATATTTTACTTTGGCTTCAGTTTGGAAGCTCTTATTTGCATTTTCTGAAAGTCTAGATAAATAAAAAGGTGTATTTAGTCTCACCAATTTCTCCCTGGTTATGCAGAGCTTTGTAAAATGGTGTAGAATGTACTCAACTATTTACTCTTTGAAAATTATTGAATAAAACACAAGACACGCAAAAAAAAAAGCCTAAATTTGTACTGATTTTTTCAAAAAGTACTAGGAAATAGTTTATTAAAAGGGATTTATGTGAAATATATTTCACATAAATATATTTCATATATTTAAATAAGGAAAATACTCTTTTAGTTTGCGAATCAATTTAGGACGTGATGGTAACAAACCTGTAAGTGTAGAACTTCAAAATTAATTTTCAACATTTTGTAGGAGATTGTGACAGTGATAGTGTACAAAGATTGCAAAATGTGTAGAGTTCTGTAATTGATAATAGAGAGCAAGTAGCATGAATTCACTGAAGGGGTGTGTTTGAGCAAATTCTCCTGTTCTAAGCAAAGACTAGTGACACTCTTGGAACATGTCTTGATTCATCTCACTCATGACTGATCCAAGGATCATTGGGCTTAGGAGCAGCTTTAGAAACCCCAGGCAGTAGGACCAGTTGGAGAGACACACTTCAAATTTCGCATTGCAGCACCACAGAAACAATCAGCCATGTCACAAAGCTGGGAAAGGCAATTTCACATGGGGAGGGTTTTATTTTTTTCAAAACTGCAAAATAGTCTTAATAGATTATTTTCAAAGCAGGAAGTGCTGGGTTGTTTTGTAATGAGTGGTTTTAGTAATTTTCTTCATCACTGGACTGGAATCGTTGCCTTCTTTTGTAATATCTATTGGCAAAATTATTTTATTCTTTCCTGGGTCTCCTATTGTTTTTGTATTACATCTTTTAGAGACCAAAATTAGATTATCATTCTCATGGTGCTGTGTGAAACAGGATTTAGGAAGTGATTAGGTAAATTCATGAGGAAAACAATCCATTGAAGGCTATTAAATACAAAGATTGCTGGAAGTTACTGTGGTGACAGACTGCTGGAGGGTGTCTTTTTCTCTTGTCTGTCCTCAGGCATCTACAATTTCAGCCAGGATATGCTGCACAGAGCATGTTGGTCTACTCCAGTCCTGAAGATATGTTAAAAAAGAAAAAGAAACACAGTGATCAGGACTGCTTCCAGTTCTAGTTCTCAACTCTGCCAAGCACAGTGTTATTATCAGGTGATTCTACATTTTATTGGTGAAAATCTCTTTAAAAACACTGACACTTTAGGTCATGTGAGATTTTCTCTGATGCCATCTAAATCCCTACTTTCTTTTTGTTTTAATTCTGCCTCTGAAGGGGCAGTTTGCAGTAGGAATCTGCCCCCAGTGCTGGCAGAAAGAGCTCACCCCGTCTCCAGCTGGAGGAATTTGCCTCACTGCCCCTCTGAGCCCATTTTTCACAGAGGATGGTCCATCTCTTGTGGCTTGGTATTTGTTTCCAAGTCCCTCGAGTACATTTCACTCTTATAAGCAAAGTTCCCCCCCTCAGAATTTGTGGCAGAAAGTACAGTTTGGGTGACTCAATCATATTTAGGCTGTATTAGTGCTACAGAGAACCACCAGAAGATTGCCAGCTGGAATCAATCACTGGATCCATTGAGTTGAATGCATCCACTTGTCCCACTGAAAAATAAGACACTCCCCCCTCCCTCCCACTTCTAGTCATTTTTAGGGATGGCAAGTGAGAATTTTAGGAGGGTTTATTCCTGTTCTGGAAATGTCTCACTGCAAGACCTCTTTTCAGGATAGAAATGCATATTGCATGTTGCTTTTTGGTGGCCCCTGCCTGACAGCCTACCCCTCAGTTTTCAGAGACAGTGAGAAACTCCAGGGTTTGCTTTGGAATTGTGAATACTGTGTGTAGCAGGAGAAAAAAAACCCAAAACAACTCCACTGCCTGCCCAAAGATGCAGCTGCCCCAAATTGGCACTCACATCTGAAAAATAAGAGGTTTTTAACTTTGTGTCTAAATTTATGGGTCTAGTATAATCTGTCTGACAAACAGGGGTACTCTCATTTATGAAGATATTTGCAATCTTACCTGCAACAAGTAAGCACTCGAGCTGGTTGGTAATAGTGGCTTGGAGTCCAACTTTGGATCAGAACATGTTAAAACAAAAAAGGGAGTGCGGGTTTGCATCTAAGGTTTAGTTTGGCCCAAATACAAATCCAGTATTTTCACTGAAGCTCATCTTTAATTATCTTTTGAAGTATGTTCTGCTTGTTTAATCAAGAGCTTAACATTTTGGATGTAAAGATGCTTTGGATACTTACTTCAAGAGGCTCATCATGTTCAAGCTTAAAGTATCCTGGTTCTTAATTAGGGATTTTGTTACTATCTCACACAGACCCTGGCTTTTATTATATCATGAAACAAGATCCTCCACTGGGGAACTGTAGCGCTCAGATATCTTTTCCAAGATTAAATAAAAATTTTTAAAAAGCTATTTTAATTGTAAATGCGACAAATTCAGGCTTTTAATATTACCAGTATCCAAGTCAAACTGAAGATTTCCTTTATTCCCTGTCTGCTGTTACATCTTAAGTCCAGAAACTGTTCTTTAATTCGCAGATGCAAGTGAGACTTGTCACATGTATTTTGCTTCTTCCTGCATTTACTTCACTGATTTCTGGTATTCATGTAGATGCCAGCTTGTTTGAGCTTTGGAAAGTGATACGTTTGGGACAGTTATTATCACATTTGTCATTTAGTGTTCACTCAAGTACCTTTTCCTTGCATATTCTGAAGCAGATTCACCATCCCTACTCAGAAGTGCCAGCAGCCTCCCCGAGGCCCTCTTGCACGCTCCCAAATAATGTTTTTCAGAGTGGAGATTGTTTTAGCTACTTCCCCTAATCCATTTCAAGTATAATTACACTATGGTCAATATGTTTTTGATGTTCCACAACCTCACATTATTTTTTTTAATACTTGGCTCACTTCCTGGATTAGTCCAAAGCAGCCTCTGGCTGATGGAGAGGCTTTGGGAAACTGCATTAAAAAGCAATTTTGAGTTTATATAAGGATTCAATGGCTGAAGGGTTAAAACACGCTTCGGAGATGAATATAGTTTTTGAGATGAGGATCCCCGTGAGGCTTTGTGGCTCAGTTGCCCTTCATTAACAGTGTAATTCCCTGCGTGGTCTGCAGGTATTTCTGGGTCCGGGCAGCAGCCGGTCCCGGAGCATCTGCTCTGGCTCTGCAGCCTCCAGAGGAGCTCAGCCAAACCAGGCCAGGGCGAGAGGCTCCGTCCCTTCTGCTGGGGGACCCCCTGCTCCACCCTGCGGGAGGGTCAGAGCCGACCCGTGCCCTCCTGCAGACCCCTGGGGCACAGCAGACACTGTTATAGCCTTTGTGGGGGCACAGCAGACACTGTTACAGCCTTTGTGGGGGCACAGCAGACACTGTTATAGCCTTTGTGGGGGCACAGCAGACACTGTTATAGCCTTTGTGGGGGCACAGCAGACACTGTTACAGCCTTTGTGGGGGCACAGCAGACACTGTTATAGCCTTTGTGTCCCACCCGAGGGAGGGACAGGCTGCGGGGGGAGCGGGGAGCAGCCCTGGCACCGCCCCAGCCCCAGCCCGTCCCGAGCTCCCGTCCCGCTCCCAGCAGCGCTCACCGTGCAAATCCCGCTAATCCACCTCCGCAGCTCCAGCCCCGGCAGCAGGGACGGGCCGGGCAGGGCTGGGGGCTCTGGAGCTGCTCGTTCCCCCCGCCTGTCCCGGGGCTGGCTCGGCTGCAAAGAAAAGCTGAGTAAGGAGGCAGTAGGGATTTGAGGGAACCCTCTCCACGCTGCAGGGAATAACTCAGAAATTTTGTGTCAGATCTGTGAGTTTTCTTGGGAAAGGAAGATTCTGGGATTTCTCCATTATTCACCTCGGGGTCTCTCACTGCTGCTGTGTTTCATGGTGGTATCAAGCCACTAAAAGGAAAAAAAGGCAATTACTGCTCAGGTCCTCTGCGTTCTGGAGAAGGTGTGGTTGGTGTGAGTGCAGGGACAGGCATGACTGGGTGCTGTCACTGTGGGGCTCCCTGGGTTCTCAGTGCTCCTGGGCACCTGCAGGGGCTGTACATAAAGCTGTCCATGTGAGCATTCTAAATGCATTTGTGGAGCTGAACCTTTCATAAATGACTAAAGAGATCCTTTCATTTTCCCTCCTGTTTGGTCAGCCCTCCCTCCCCTCAACCTAACAGTTTAAACTAAATGAATATATTTTGTTCCAAGCAGTTAAAGGTAAAGTAGGTGTTTTGATGTAAATAAATCTGGGAGGAAAAGTACCTTTTGTATTGGCAGGAAGCTTGGTAAAGGTGAATAGAAACATTTATTTACATATTCTCATTTCTGTTTCTTCCCAGTAACAGGTTTTCACAACAGTCTTCCCCTGCCTGTATTGATGTTTCTATATTCAGGGAATGAAAACACGCACGTGGACTCCCATGGCTTTACAGCATATTTCTGCACAAACTCAAGTAGATTTTCTTCAGGAGACAGCCTGACAACTATGTTTAAAGACAAATAGTAATCACTGCACCCATATCTACATATTGCAATACATGTACACATGTATGCTCATGTAATACATATCAATATCAATTTGGGCTACATTTTTGTAATAACATAAGTTACTTTGTTAAACTATGTAAAATAAATAGCTTTGTTATTGAAATCTCTGTAAATATCATTAGTAAAACATTTCAGTTGAGAAAGCATAACATTACAATTCCTGCCTTTCTCCCATTAGAGTTGATTTAATAGTCTGGTTTCATACTACGCTGTCTGTGCTGCTTCTGTTCAGAGCCTGTTCAGAGCAAGGCAAACACCAGGTAAATTTAAATTCACCCCAAAACACGACCTCATGTTTCACACTCAAAACGTGACATTTGAAAGGGCAGAAGCAATTTGCAGTTTCACAAACATTTTGCAAGTTGTAAAACTGTGGTATCTCTGGCCAGAGATCTGGCCTTATCCTTTGACACTGAGTCTAGGCCATAACTTTTTAACACTTTCTACCTTTTTTGTGCATGAAACACTACAGAGGAATGAACTAAGTGAACTGCCTAGACAAGGAAAGTAACAAAAATAAGTAAGAAAAATAATTAGTAGGTTAGGAGGTTGTTCTGAAATTTGGATTATCAGTAAAAATGGATAGAAATCTCTGGCAGAAATGCAATTTAAATCAGGGTTCTTAATGTTCACTTCTGATCTACTGACAGGACAGAAGATTGAAATCCCTTCTAACTGAAGAACAATTTCACCATTTTTGGACAAACTGTACTCTTGTAGCTTCATTAAGCCAGAAGGCAAAACTTGTGGATATTCCTACAGTTTTGTATCTGTACAATTTGCACTCTTTTTTTCCCAGGCACTCAGTGATGCTGTGGATACTGGATTGAGTGAGAAGGTGAAATTCTTCTCTGCAGGGTAAAAGAAGTGAGGAACCTGTTTGTTGTTCTCAGTATCACAGCAGATTAGCATTTCCTCCCACTACTAGCCTACAACTTTTCAGTTATTCCACTAAGTTTAGGATCATGTCTCTAAAACCACAACTGCCTGAAATACAGCATATATACTTCTATTTGAATTTACTTATTGAGCTCTACATCTAACAAATGGAAAAACTGAAGCAAATATTTTCAGTATGAAATTTAAAACTTCTCTAAAATAAGCCCTAAAGAAGCTTGGCCTCCTGGATAATTCCTGCTAAAATTTGTCATCCGTGCAAGGTTATTTAATCTGAATCAATATTGAAAAGAGAAAAAAGGCAGGAAGATGAAAATTGTCATCTAAAAAGTGAAACTGAAGTTCTGTGGGGGCTGCAGTTCCAAATAACATTATTTTTATTGGAACGGGTGAAGCTGAGAATATGGTAATGAAGACTTGGATTTCTTTTGCCAAGATTTTGACTTAACCACTTTTGATCAGCAACGTTTCTCAAAAGCTTTTTAAGAAAGCAGCCCATGTAACTACATGAGCACCAGCAATACATTTTCTGCCTTTGGTACTGTGACCTAATCAGCTCAGCTTAAAGACAAAAAAAATCTTTAATGGAGTCAGTACAGTTTTTGTTTGAATGCCATGTGTTGAAACTTCTCAGATTTAAGTGAGGGAGCTGCAGAGACGTGCACTGCCAGCCACATGAGTGATAGCCCTTATTTTTGTAATAGGATTGCTGCATTTATCACCCCAATTACAATGATCCTAAGCACTGATCCTAAGCCCTTCTGCTTCAGGAAAGGCAGAATGTATTAAACAAGGGGTGTCTGCAAAGGCAAGAAACTGTTAGTAGACTGCTAAAAATGTACAACTACAAGTTTTTAAGGGTTGAAAACCTGAGTAAACCTCCTCTTAACTGTTGTTTAGTTCCACAGCCTGTCTCCTCCTACAAAGCAGCTCGTACAAGTGGGAGTACTATCAGCTTCTCGTAGTCTGGGGGAGAAATGTTTCCTACATGGAATACAGTCAATGCACAGCCCATCCAATGGCTCCAAGAAAGGTCTCCGTAGCAACATTAAGAACAATTATTTTTAAATGCTCTACCTTAGTCTTACATTCATGTTTTTTTAAAATACAACTATTAAGTGTTTCCACTGCAGATGCTGCTGTGACCTAGTCATCCAACAAAACTCCTTTGTTCAGGCTTGAAAGGATGATCCCTGCCTTGTTTTTCTGCAGGTCACTGCAGGCTTGCTTTCCTTTGCAGTCAGTAAATACCCACTAAATATTTCATAATTATTTATCAACACACAGCTGGTCTGAAAAAGGAACCTGTAAGAACTCCTTCTCCTCTTGGGGGGAGGAGGAAGAAGTGTGGGAGTAGAAGGAATTTAACAAGGAAAACTTGAGCAGGTTTTGGCCAAAGATCCGCCAAACTGGTAGCACAGAAGCAATGGAAAATGGTAGAAAAAAGAGGCAGGGGAGGCTCATCGTGCTTGGGAGTGGGGCTGAGGGAAGCAGAATTAGAAGGCAAGGTGGTGAGGAGGAGGAGGAGGAGGAAGCTGGAAGGCACCTCCTGGAACCGCTGTGAACACTGCTGCAGGTGTGCAGGGGGAGCTGCTGGGGGAGCAGGGCTAGACTGAGAGAGGACAAACAACAGAAAACAGTTATCTCAGGGATCAGAAATGACTGTTCCTGGGGGAGGAGCAAGGAAGGATGTTAATATTTTTCTGAGAAATTAAGCAGCATGTGAGTTTTTCATGCACACCCCTCCTTCAGACCAGTTTCCCCAGAGCTTCACCCCCTGCTGATTCCAGCAGAAAGATGAGTTAAGGCAGGCATGGGTTCCCTGCCCTCCCTGTACCCAGCATTTTAGTGTGTTATCCCAGGGTAATCCTACTGCTTTCCCCCGGTTCCCAAATCCTACAGAAGGCAAAGCAGTTTGCAGGGGGAATGCTGAATTCAGGCAGGGGAAGCAGGTAGAAAGCAGCCTGAGCTCAGATCTGTGCCTAACATGGTACTGGGGCTTCAGTTCTGAAAGGAACAGAAAGCTCTTCCTTTCCACCCTAACTCCTTAAGAGACAACCAGCAAGGAACAATAACAGGAATAATTTATACACTGCTGTGATACAGAAGGAATAGAGGCATGTAGTGCAAGTCTTGGATTTCATTAATAATATATAAATACACATACTGGGTAAAAAACCAACCCTCCTAAGTTTGTTAATAGACTTCTGAGATGCTAATCTTTGTTTCATTAGGATAATTGCTTAAAACCTAGTCTGGCAATACTGTTTGTACCATGCAGAAGTGAACTGCTTTGGAGGGAGCACAAACAAAGGAGCATGGGAGTGTACTCCTGTTAATATTCACTTCTGCTCCATCTCTGGAGCAGCCTGGGCACAAAGGAGGGCAAAGGCAGGGGAAGGGAATCACAGCTAAACAAGTATAAATTTCATGTTAAGAAGGATGGCAGGAAAAAAACGAGTGAGGTTTTAACAACAGGCCTTGTGAAGAACAGAGTAGGTAAGAGGATAGGGGAAAGGAGCAGATGGGTAAAAGGATTGAGCTCTGTCCCATGCTAAAGCTCTTCAGGGGAGACCAGAGGTCTCTAACAGAGATACACAGAGATGCCTTTGTGCAACAGAATTGTCTTGGGCAGGCAGAGCTGGGGTATTTGGGGGCTCCTCTCCCTTGTGTTAGGAAGGGGGCACAGATTCCTTCAGCTCATTACAGCTCTGTTCTGAACGGGGATTGTCTGGGCAGTGCTCCCTCCTCAGGGCTGCATACCCGGTAGCCCTTTCCCTGTTCTGCTGGGCTTTCCCAGCCCGTGGATGGCACTGTGGCTGAGCTGCCCATGTGTCCAGGAGAAGGGCAGCCAGCAGCAGCTCTGGGAGTGCCTGATGTCATCAGTGCAGTACTGTCACGGCTGGGGAGAGCAGAGCAGCTGGAGATTTGGGACCAGCTGCAGGATCTGTTCAGGGTCCGTGCCAAAGAGCAGCTGGACAGGCTGCTGGCTGAGCCTGTTCCAGCACCACAGTTCATAACCCAGGTGATTGTCTGTGTTTGATTTTGCACAGGAGATTTGTGGGCATTAGTGCTTCCTCCACACTAGTTGCTCAGCACATCTGATGCTGTAACATGAGCTCCACTGTTTCCTCCCTGGCCACAAGGGCACCGTCAAGGACATATGCAGAGTATACACCAAGTTATCTGTGAAACCCTCTCAGAGCAATGAAAATATTGCTTTTCCACAAGGCCAAGTTCTTTGATTCCCACAGTTACTCTCAGCAGCACAACTC